AAGTCGAATGCGCAACAGGATACACCGGTGCACTGATATTTTACAGCTACCGAAGAAGGAAGTTTCGTGAATTAGTAGTGCGCAGCAAAGCAAAGATTCTGTGTCGATCGATCTCTTCACTACGTACCTAGAGAGCGCGCATGCACGGATGACGCAGCGTCCTTATCGGCGACGGTGATGCGCTGCCCGAGTGTGCTCGCCACTGACACCATCGTGATCGAGTCCACCCAGCAACACTGACCAGTGAGCATGCATTCACCGGAGGAGAGAAAGAGCTAGCAATCATGGCGGCGTCGCCGTACGCCAAAGTGCGGGAGGAGTACGTAGTACGGAGGCGCGATGATGTTGGTGACAAGCAAGGACGATGGAGATGGCCATGGGGTCCGGAGAAGCCGCTATCTATCGCGTTCTAGCTTAAGTACTAGTTGTAGTTGCAAGCGGGGCGGGGCCGGTTGGTCGCGCGCAAGTTGGCTATCGCGCGTCGCGCGCGCGTGATATTTCGGCCGCGCTAGCGGGCTAGTACTAGATCTGTTGGATACAGCTGCTGCCACTACCCGGCCGGCCTCGTACGCGCGCACGAAGTACGCTAGAGCCTAGATGAGTGGAGCTCTGGTTCTTTTCCGGTTCATGGCCAATCCCGTTGGAACTTGGAACTAGGTAATTTGCTCTATGACTCTAGCTAGGTCGTCTTCGAATGTTTCCTTCTCTTTTCCATCCGGTATAATAATTGACGGGAAAATCGTGCGGAGTGCGACGGCATGCGCCTTGCACGGCCGCCGCTGCGCCATCCGTTGCAACTCATCTAGCAAGGGAAAAGTACCAATGATGTATGGATACATAGGGGTGTCAAGAGGCGACCTAGCTAAGAGTATCTTCCAGAGCCTTGTCGAAACTTGATTTCTATTTGCTCATTTGGTAAGCTAGCTAGTTAAAAAGTTCTTCTCTATATTTTCCGTGTGCTCCAACAGTATCTCTCACTCTCTAAATTTTATGGGTCCACATGCCAGTGTCTAAACCCTCTTCTACAATAGCTGCAAATCAGGATGGGTGATGATGGCGCTCGGAGGCCGGAGAAGGAGGGGGCGACAAGTCGGCAAGGCGGAAGACAACGACGTGGGAGATCAGGGATGCGATGGGCCACCTGCTACTTTTAGCGGATGAAGGCCAAGTTAGTGTTGTTGTTGGCCTAACACTACGACGGATGGGGAGGCGTCGACGCAACGCACGAAAGGAAAGGCGGTGGCATTGCGCGCGGAAGGGGAGGCGGCGGCGCTGCGCACGGAAGGGGAGGTGGTGGCATTGCACTCGAACAGGGAGGCGACAATGCAAGTGAGCAATGCAGGAGAGGGAGAGACAATGCGAGAGAGTAGGGAGGGCGAGGGAGGGGAAAGGGGAGATTCGGACGGTAGGGCCCATAGATGGCCAACGATTTTGGCTGATCAGATTTGGCCAACAGGGAAAGGACTTTGGTCAAGTTGATAAGGGTGTTGGAGGGTTACTTTCTCAAGTTTGTCAAATTTTTTCTTGGAGAGCCATCTAGCAAAGCTCTTGGAGATGCTTCGAGTGATAAATGATTGATATTGTTGAAAAAGAGAGCAACATAGCATTTGTGCTCTCTATTGATGTTAATGATAAAGCTAACTGATAGCTACTCCCTCCGTATTTTAATGTATGACACCGTTGACTTTTCAACCAACGTTTTACCATTCGTTTTATTCAAAATTTTTGTACAAATATGAAAATACTTATGTCATGTTTAAAGAATATTTGATGACGAATCAAATCACAATAAAATAAATGATAATTACATAAATTTTTTGAATAAGACGAGTGGTCAAATGTTGGACAAAAAGTCAACAGCGTCATATATTAAAATATGGAGGTAGTATTAATTAAATCCATAGCGTTTAAGTATAGCTAACATGTACAGTAATCATATGCTCCTAACTCTTTTTAGGTCAACCATAGTTCATATAAACAAGATGTGATGGTTGCGGCGGCATCTTCAGCAATTCCAAATATATTTTGTATATATGTTGTTGTGTATTGTCCCAGGTGCTATGATTGTGGATGTAGTGGTAGCTAGTTGATTTAAGCAAAGTTTTTTTTAAACAAATTGATGAGCCACCAATTTCATTAAAAGAGCATGAGAAAACTATAGAGAGACAAAATATCTACAAGTTAGGACCGGAGATCCGGTCTAGCGACAAAGTTAACCAAGCGGTGAGCTTTCTAGCATCCATGAGTGCCTACATTTTGGCCTCCTCGCTGACTTTGGAGAATGGGCTAGACGCCGAGAGCTCCTTGTGCTGAAAGATCTTTGGTTCTTTTTTTTTCCATATCTCTCAGGAAACAGGCAAAGTTGTTTTAACTTTTTTCTGAATCAAACTTCTTTAGATTTGATTAAATTTGATTAAATTTATAGAAAACATTAACAACATCTACAATACCAAATTAGTTTCATTAAATATAATATTGTGTATATTTTCATAATATATATATTTTGTGTTGAAAATATTATTATATTTTTTTATAAACTTAGCCAAACTTAAGATAATTGATTAGAAAATATGCCAACTTTACCTAGCGGCTGACAAGTGGAGCTGCATGCAAGAAAGTCTATGCCCGGCTGTCATGGGCCATCAGTCAGCCTCCACGAGGTGCCGAGGTGAGACTAAGTGGGAGAGAACGAGGGGCAACATGTCACGTCCCTCCTATTCCTTCAGTTGACGTGGGCATGCGGGAGCCCGCGTGCGATGCCACGTCCTTGAAGCATGCGGTTGAGCTGCTTTCCAGGTTGCTGCACTCTGCAGTTAAATCATGGTGTTGGTCAAAGTTTATCCTCCGGACCCACCATTACCTATAAATGGGCGGAGTTCTCCACGGAGAGCCCAGGTAGAGGGTGTGCTTGGGCCCTAGCCTGGGGCCCTGAGTCGCTTGCAACTTGTTTCGGGGCGGGCTCCGTGATCCGGGGCACACTACATGCCCGGGGAATCCTTGGCCGCTCCAATGGCCAAGTCATAGGTTTTCTTGTTGATTTGGACGAGTTTCTCGAAGATGTCGTTGATGAAGGAGTTATGAACATAGCTTGAAGGAGATGCCAAAAATTGCAAGTTGTATCTTCAACTCTTTGAAGACATAGCTAGATCATATAGATCTCGACTCTCTTCTCGACACCTCGAAGATGTAGATAATATAAATCTCTTGAGTATATAGATATTGTCTGTCTCTTGAATATGTACTGTTGATGCCCTGAAGTCCTAGGAGGGTTAGGGACTTTAGTTCATATACCGTTGATGCCTCGAAAACCCAAGAGGGATGAGGACTCCAGTTTTCGTTCCTCTAGCATGTGGCATTTCATTGAAATCACACGAATAGAGTGGCATATTGTCCATTTTCTAGTTCACTGCTAATTATTGGAGGTCATTCAAATAGGAAGCAGGTGAAACAATCTATACTTTCTATATAGTTGGTACCCACTAATAATTATTAGAAGCTAAAGCTCAACATACAAGCATGCCACATCATCACTCACTAGCAATTACTGTTCTAACCCATTTAAAATCCCATGCAAGCATGCCACATCTTCACTCACTAGCAATTACTATTATAGCCTATTTAAAACCCATGTAAGCAATTCCATGCAAGCATGCCACATATTCACTCACTAGCAATTACTATTATAACCTATTTAAAACCCATGTAAGCATGACACATCATCTACAATATTATATTATAAAGATCAACAAGTATGTGCCAAATTATCTTCCTCACATTATTTTCTCAACATTTCAGCTTTCATCATTTCGACAATATTTAATATATACTTATCCATGAATCCCGCAGTAAAGCGCGGGGTATCACCTACGTAGACCCGCAGTAAAGCGCGGGGTATCACCTACGTAGACTATGCAATAAAGTCTCATTGGGACTACCTATTAATCTTTCAATAGATTTATAGTTTCGAATTAGAGAAAACAGGAAAAGAGCTAAGAGGGATCAAACCCAAGAACTTCTTTTCAAGGAGTGTCTCAACCATCGAGCTATGTCACATGTTGTTCATGTATTATAACACACATCTATTTGAACCGCTTTAAACCAGCGGTTTGATTGGTCCGACCAATAAACCAGTGAATCGTGTGCCTTAGCGGTTCGATCCTCGGTCTGGTCTTAATAACTATGCCAATGGATATAGCCCGTTTTAAATGAAATAACAAGAAAAAGAGACAAATATATAAAAAAAAATCGTAAATCTAGAAAAAAAACTGTTGTAAAATATAATTTTGGTTCACTGTAATTGAATGTAAGTGCTATGTAACTAAGTATAAGTACATTGTAACTGAGTATAAGTGCTCTGTAACTGAGTGTGACCGTAAATTGAGTACACGAGAATACGAATTTTGATGAAAGATTTTACGAACGAAAAAGTAAATGATAGAAGTCAAAAATCTATCGCAAGTAAAATAGTAAATCCGTTTTGCTTTTGCTTTTGCTTTTCGTCAACGAGCTAAACGGTTTCGAGCTTAAGCTTGTACCTGCATGTACCCTCACCACTTCACCAGGCTGCAGGCGTGATATCAATTCTGGTAACACGTTGAGCTTAGAGAGTTTATAGTCGCGCCCGAACACAAGCCACAAACGTAGAAGTGAGAGTTAAGTCAGATCAGGGACACAACAGTGCACAGACGTACGTGGCAGGCAAAACAAGGTGAAAAGAAATCGCACCATAGTCGTCACCGCACCTCGCCGTCCTATTGGCGATATCCCACTTCCCGGCATATTTCCAGCGGCAATCTTCTTTCCAAAATGCACTGTATGGTTGTTGCACTTTAGCCCGTTAGCCGCAGCTAACAGGTACCCAGCCTTTCGTGTGCTCAAGGTCGTCGTTGCCTGGCTGACACAAGCAGCGCAACAAGCGTTCTTTTGCATCGCCCTTGATCGTGCTCCCTTGTCAAAGTCCAATACGCCGGAGCTCTCATGGCTATATATACGAAGCCATATCATGGCTTCTCACTTCATTCCAACATAGGGAGGTAGATCACATTTGGCCAGAAGCCTTTGTCACGTTCCTCTCTTTGGAAACTAGCTTTGGTAGCTTGCTTTACTCTTCCTAGGAATATATCTGTGTGTCCAGAAAATAATTGCCACAGAAACGAAAGCAACGAGAGCAGAGGTCAACCCAGTCGTACTTACCAAAGGCGAGCGAATTGAAGCAAATTTAGGCCGCATTTTCGTTGCGTACATAGAGAATCGAGGCTTACAATAGGGACCCATCTGGTGTGTGCAGCGGCGCTCGTGTACCGGTCGCCATCAGCATGGACGCCGCCGCGAGGGAAGCGCAGGTGCAGGGCAGTCTGGAATGGCGGGTGACGGTGCCGGAGGGCTCGTCGGTGACGGTGGAGCACGAGGCCGGCGTCGCCGAGAGGGCGTGGGCGTGGGTGGTGAGGATGCTGGTCGCGGTCAGGGCGGCGGTGGCCGGCTTCGCCAGGAAGGTGTGGAAGATCGGCGCCGACGATCCCCGGAGAGCGGTGCACAGCCTCAAAGTCGGCCTGGCTCTCACCCTCGTCTCCATCGTCTACTACACCAGGCCCGTGTACGACGGCGTCGGCGGCAATGCCATGTGGGCCGTCATGACGGTTGTCGTGGTCTTCGAGTACACCGTCGGTGAGTAGTAGTACAACGTCGTGTGGTGAATTCTGCATGCTCTTGCATGTCAGTTTGCTGTGTTCCTCACCGTGTTTTTGTACACTCGTGCGTGTGTGCAGGTGGATGCATGTACAAGGGATTCAACAGAGCCGTCGCGACGGCGAGCGCCGGGCTGCTCGCGCTCGGCGTGAACTGGGTGGCGGACAAATCCGGCGACAAGCTCGAGCCGTTCATCCTCAGCGGCTCCCTGTTTTTACTGGGTACGTATTTGATAAGCCTACCTCCACCGTACGTAGTGCCCCTGTTTTGTTAGGCTCGTTTCGTAAGCCGTGACAAAGACTTGCACAGTCACATACTACGTGCAACGCTGACACCCAAGTAAAATAATGCGTGCGTGCGTACGTGCATGGTGAACAGCTGCGGCGGCCACCTTCTCGCGGTTCATACCAACGGTGAAGGCGCGGTTCGACTACGGCGTGACCATCTTCATCCTGACGTTCAGCCTCGTCGCCGTGTCGGGGTACCGCGTCGACCAGCTGCTGGACCTGGCGCAGCAGCGGATGTCCACCATCGGCATCGGCATCGTCATCTGCCTCGCCGTCTGCGTCGTCATCTGGCCGGTGTGGGCCGGCCAGGAGCTGCACCTCCTCACGGTGCGCAACATGGAGAAGCTCGCCGGCGCCGTCGAGGGCTGCGTCGAGGACTACTTCGCGGCGAAGCCCGCCGCGGCCAAGTCGGAGGGGTACAAGTGCGTGCTCAACTCCAAGGCGTCGGAGGACTCGCAGGCCAACCTGGCGCGGTGGGAGCCGCCGCACGGGCGGTTCGGCTTCCGCCACCCGTACGCGCAGTACACCAAGGTGGGCGCCGCGATGCGCCACTGCGCGTACTGCGTCGAGGCGCTCAACAGCTGCGTCCGCGCCGAGGTCCAGGCGCCCGAGCACGTCAAGCGGCTGCTCGGCGACGTGTGCACGCGGCTGGCCTCGCAGTGCGCGCGGGTTCTCAGGGAGGCGTCCACCTCGGTCGCCGCCATGACCAGCCCCAAGACGCTGGACTTCGCCGTGGCGGACATGAACACGGCCGTGCACGAGCTTCAGGGCGACCTGCGCGCGCTCCCGCCCGTCCTGGCCTTGGAACCGGCGGCGGAGATGTCGCTGATGGACGCGATGCCGCTCTTCACCGTGGCGTCGCTGCTGATAGAGATATCGGCGAGGATCGAGGGCGTCGTCGACGCCGTCGAGACGCTGGCCAGCCTCGCCAGCTTCAAGCAGGTGGAGGATGATGACGACAAGAAGGGACAAACCGAGATGAAAGTGCACCCGCTGAACGTGCCGGATGATCACGACGCGTCGACACATGAAAGCCAGACTACAACGAAGCACCCTGAACAGGTCTAAACTTTAAAAACGTCCATCAAATCAAACCGCACAAAATCAACCAGCGGGACGAGTCAGACCGGAAGAACACACGAATACATGATTGAATCTAAACTGGCTGAGCCACCGCTCTTTGCTAGCTTCTTCTGGTGATTAACAGAATAACTCTATCGATTTACAGTGGAGAGAATCTTGGCAACTTCATACCACGGCTTACACGACGAATAAAACCGGCTTACCACTGTCATAAAAGTCGGCATGTATCGTCGCATTCATGATGTACTACTACCTTGTACATATATTAACAGAACATTATTTGATATTTTTACAGGAACACTGCAAGGCATATGAGCTCAGATGTTCCCCTCTCCTTAAACGCCATGCACTCGAAATTCAGAGAAATTTTGAGAACATCATTATCTCATAAAAACTCAATCTACTCAACTGATTTTTATTCTTTCTCGGTTTATAAAACGAGTTTTATACTTTGGTTTTCTTTTTCTTCTTCTTTTTTTTTTTTTGAAAACTGTCGGTAGTAGCAGCAGTACGTACCAGAAGCAGGTACCGCTTGTACTCTACCAGAAAGGACCCAACATACGCACAAGCCGATAAGGTCGCTTTACAGGGACCGAGGGACAGGCCACGATTAAACATTTCCAAATACACTTTCGTCCGCGCGTTGCTGCCATTGCTTTTCTTTCTCTGGCAGTATGCACGGTTTTTGCTCTGTTGCAGTACAGCAGCGCCACGCACTAGGGGGATTTTGTGCGCATATATTGCCTCATGTTTCTGATCGCATCGCTGCGGATATTGATTTTATCTTGGATTTAATTTGGGCAATGGACATTGGACAGCCCGTATGGAACGGAAAAGTTGCCCATGTCTGCCTGATCAACGGCGGCGTGCTGCAAACCCATACAATGCACTACCTCCCTCCCTGCACTGCACCTGACGAGATCCAGAGAAAACCAGGATAGGAGTTGGCCCAGCCGGTTCGTGGCTAGTGGAGTACAAAATTTGTGCACTGAGTTTGGATGGAAGAAATAGGTAGATGATGATAATTCGGTCACACACATGCATGCACATACAAGTGTGAAATGGCAGCAGGGAGCACTAGCTCGACCGATCATTGATCAGTTTGATGATCTTTAGCCCGACCCGACTAATGAAGTGATGAGTGATAAGTGATGACAATGAGATAATGTTCCGCGGCATATCCGCTGGGTAATGCATAAGCATTAGCCAAAGTGGTTTGCGTGTTTATAAAGTTCTGACGATCTCTGAACATTATTTCGAGGAGATATATCGTGCATTCACGCGGGGATCGATCTTATACTTTCAGCTATCCTTGCATTATTTTTCTATGATCAACTTGACAGTCTTTATAAAAGGATTTCCGCATCGGTCATATGATCGGTACTACCAATCGTCTGCAAAAGGTTTGCAGGTCTTATTCGTAGGAGATAATTGTCCCTTGGCCGTCATAGTGATGTATCTCGTTCTTCGATCAGTGGAAGCTTCCGAATGACATATGATCTAGCTTATCCTTCAGATGATTGCAACGGGCCAACGGTAGTTCAGCTCCCATGGGTAAACCAGAAATGATTTCCTTGCAGATTTGATCAAGCTTCCCATGGCTGAAATCATGCTTAGGTATACATAAAACCTTTATTTTTTTGGATTTTTATAATCAAAGGATCTTCTTTGCTGATATACTGTGGATAAAGGCATAAAACCAATGTCGTCCAAAGGAACAGATCCATCTATTTATCTTGAACGATGAAATCTCATAGCAAATTTGGCGCTGGAGATTGAAACACCCCCCCCCCCCAACTGTGAAAACCGATGTAATTTAACTCTCTCGACGATTTTAGAGGACAGTTTCGCTGACTTGGCGCTTTGGCTTGGTCCAATCCGCTAAGTCACCCTATGGGGCCCGCACGTTAGTGTCGCATACTCTTTCTTCTCTTCCTTCCCTTTCCCCGGCAAAACACGGCGGTGATGAGGGGAGGTCGTCGTCGCGCCGCCGCCCCCTCTTCCCCCTTCCGCTCGCCGCTGTAAGGGAGGAGGAAGCACGAGTGAGGATGAAGGCAGCGGTGAGAAGGGAGGCCATTGTCACACCACCGTCCCTCCCGCCACCACCTCTACCTCCCCTCCGCTGTCGTCCTCAACCCCATGTGGGGAAAGCCGCCACACTTGCTCCGCCAGCAACGCCCCGGCGGGCACTCCACTCCGTCTCATCCCATGCCACCTCCTCGCATCCCTCCCCGCATCCCTCCCACCATCGCCTTCGCCTCCCCACCGCTGTTGCTCTCAACCCTAGTGGTTACCCTGCTTCGTCTCATTCCACGCCATCACCTCCGCCTCCCCTCCGCTGTCGCCGCGTGCCTGATTTTGCCGAGATCCAAGAGAGGTAGGGGAAGAGAAGCGGATAGAATGACTGACAACTTCTTGCCTGCTTGAGGGCATAGGCGTGGCTGAAGCGGAAGAGAAGAGAAGACTGGCATGGTGCGGTGCCTCTTCCTGCCTTCCTCCCTACCAGCGGTGGTGAGAGGGGAAAGATAAATGTCACTGACAAGTGGGCCCCACAGGTGACTCCATAGGTTGGAACAAGTCAAAGCGCCACATTAGCGAAACCATCCTTTAAAACCGTTGATAGAGTCAAATTGCACCAGTTTTAATAGTTGGGGGATCGAGATATCTGGTATTACAGTTCATGGGTATGAATTAGATTGGGCCACTAGTTAAGGGGTATCAAAGTGGACTTATTCAGAAAAATCCTAGAAGATTTTTTAGAAGGAATAAGTTCACTTCATGACCCTCAAAAGTGACCCGAATCTAATCCATGACCCTAAACTGCAAAACCGGATATCTTCACCCCCAAACTATTGAAACCGGTGCAATTTGACTCCCTTGGTGGTTTTGGAGGGTGGTTTTGCTGACGTTTCAATAGTTTGGGGGTGAAGATATCCGGTTTTGCGGTTTAGGGCCATGGATTAGATTCGGGTCTCTTTTGAGGGTCATGAAGTGAACTTATTCCTTTTTAGAAACTGAAATTGTTGTAGAGAGTAGACACCGGGCTAATAGAAAGACCAGTGCTGCCTGGAAGCTATCAGCATCAGGCCCGCCTAATATTTCTGTCCAAGTCCAGATCTGATCTTGGGCTGTACATTTTCTCACCAAAGCCTGGTTTGGCTTGGGCCGAAAGTTCTTCACTAAGGCCCAGAGAAGCAGAGACCAACGTTTGAACATGTAGATACGTACTGGTGCAGCACTGCACCTCTGCACCACGGTTTTGAAATTGGAATCCTGCTAAAATGTTCTGCTTTGACACCTACTAGCAGCTTGTACCCCTTTTTGTCACTTGCTAAAATGTTCACTCTGTTCAAGGTGCGTGTTTGCCAGATTTTCCGGTGAGGCGGTGACTCGTCCGAACGTGCCACCTCGGCTTCTGGCTTATCGGTACCGTCAGCATCGTCGGCCGGCTTGAACCCCGCGAGTGTCGCCAGCGTGCCGACGGCGTGGACGACGCCCTCGATCCTCGCTTAGCAGCAGAGCAACGGTGAAGTGCTGATGACCTCTGCCAGCGACGTCTCCGACGCTTCCTCGGCTAGGATGGGCGGGAGAGCCCGCAGGTCGCTCTGCAGCTCGCGCACGGCGGCGTCCATCTCCGCCACGGCGAAGCCAAGGCCCCGGGACGTCGTCATCGTGGCGACGCAGGCGGACGCCTCCTTGAGCACCCGCGCGCACCACGCGCCAACCCTCGTACACGCATCGCCGAGGAGACGCGGGGGCGGGGCTCGCTGGCGCGACGACGCGCCGGCGCAGCTGATGAGCGCCTCGACGCAGCACGCGCACTGGCGCATCGCGGCGCCGACCTTGGCGTACTGGTCGTACGGGTGTCGGAAGCCGAACCGCCCGTGCGGGGGCCTCCCATCGCGCGGCCTGCTGAGTCCTCGGACGCCTTGGAGCCGAGCACGCTCTTGTACCCCTCCGACCTGGCCGCCGCCGCCGTGGGGTCGGCGAAGTAGTCCTCGACGCAGGCCTCCACGGCGGACGCGAGCTTCTCCATGTTGCGAGCGGTGAGGAGGCCCAGCTCCTGGCCGGCCCACACCGGGCAGATGAGCGTGCAGACGGCGAGGCAGATGATGACGCCGATGGCGATGGTGGCTATCCTGTCCAGCACCAGCGCCGCCAGGTCGTCGACGCGGTACCCCGACACGGCGACGAAGCTGTACGTCATGACGAAGATGGACACGCCGTAGTCGAACCGCGCGTTCACCGTCGGTATAAACCGCGAGAAGGTGGCTGCAGTAGCTGCAACATACGTAGTAGTATGTTGCCATGACCAGTGGCGTAGCCAGGAAATTTTTGTTGGGTAGTCCTACTTCATGGATCACAAGTTCACATCACATACTAAAATTTTTCAATCACCGTAAATCCCATATACAGATCAAAATTTAGAGAAAAGGCCATACAAAATTAGAAATATAGCAATTGGTGCATCTTTCATAAATAATTTCTCTGAAGCTTTTTTATTGTGTTTACTTGTTACAACCCTACATGTTTGTCAAGTGCGTCGGATTTGTTCCAATTTCTCGAACCAACCTTATCAAAACTACTACTTAATTTGCCAAAGAAATCCTACAAACTAAAATAAAATGGCAGCAAGTCAACAGCACATTCAGTGATTCACAAATCACAGTTCATAGTTCTAATTCACCAATTAGCACTATCACAAATCACAGTTCATAGCTCTAATTCACTAATTCACATTCCATAGCAAGTCAACGTCACACATTCAGTCATTCACTAACTAACTGATGCACAAATCACAGTTAGAAATATACATCTATTTGATTTCATAGGCTCATAGCTTCAATTCACCAGTTAGCACTTAAACTCACCTCGTCATAGGCTACTAAGGCAGCCGCTGGCACAGGCAGGGCAAGGGGGAGGAGCGGCAATCAACTAGGGCCAACCGGCCAGGGGCCTTGGGCTCCCGGCGCCGGCGACCAGCGGCGCTTGGCGGTTCAGCGGCGTGACGGCGCCACTAACCTCCGTCAGTCCGCCTCTCCATGGATTGAGCAGCCGGGAGGTCAACGACGGCAGCGGCTCAGTGCCTCGGCGGACAAAGAACGACAGGGGAGAGGTGGGAGCTGCGGAACCAATGCGAGGGCAAGGCGAGCTGGCGAGGCCGGGAAAGGAGGAACGGCGGCGGCATGGGCGGTCGTCACACGCGTGCGAAACGAAGTAGCGTCGGGTTGCAGCGAACTCCAAACCCTAGCCTTTCTAATTTTTCATTTCTTATTGGGCTGGCTTCTTGGGCTTAAGTCTGGGCTAAAATTTTTGGGGGGGTGGGGCTCCCTGGGCCAA